AGAATTACAAACATTCTTCAAAGATTTAATGGCTGTGAGTATACGTTAATCAACATGAATTTTTATTAAAAAGTAAATTTCAGTCAGTAAAACAAACTTCTGATAAGCTTGATATTTACATTTTCAATTACCTGATATCAAATAAATAAAGATAAAGAAGGCTTTATATTTGTTTGCAATTGCGTGAAATTAATGAGATGATTTTTTACTTACGAGGTTTATGAACCTAAATCAAATGAAAAAGCCTCTAAGAAGTTCTGATAAATATTTGTATTACAGACAACTTAATTTATTTAATCTACGTAGTAATATTATTTAACAAACTTGTTTCTCAATCATTAGACATTTGAAAAAAGTTAAAATCAGTTCTTAAAAAGGTATATATATATAAATAATTTTTATTTTTTTAAAGTATCGAAATGATTATGACTAAAGGTGCAGACATTTAAATTCTCACGGGTAGTTACCCCAAGACACATTTGCCGTATTAGCCGTGCGCCGTATAGGTGCCGTATGCCGTATAAGTGCCGTATGCGTACGTACGTACATACGTACATACATTACTGTAAGTACTGCCTGCCATACAAGTGGATCAACCGCACATTCTTATACGTATTCGTATATCAGCATGTTTAGATGATGTAGCTTTTTTGAGAATGTAATATTTCGCTTAATGAGAAGCGAATAATGCAATTTATTACTAGTCAATATTAAAGATTTACCGTATACCCTTGCATATTAACTTATAATTTTTGGGTAATATGGTTTGGGGTTAAGTATCAGATCAATAAATATAGTATGTACAGTACTGTACAAATGGTGTTATTATAAATGCTGCAGAATGAACCCAGCCGCGACAAATATTAATCTTGGTAATATTTCATGCATTTCTTTGACTATCATACAGTATACTTATATACAAATTTGACTATCATACAGTATACTGTATATACAAATAGTGTGAACAAACTTTACTTAATGCACAGGATCGATTTACTTAATAAAATTTTTGCAATTAAGCAAAATTTACTAGCAAAAGAAGAAACATCAAAATTTTGCAAACAGTAATAATGCGCCAATGTATAAGAAACAATGTTTTATTGTTAAACAATTGTGTTCATATAAGTTACAAGAAATCATAATCTAATGAATTTTCATGTAGAATCACATTTAAATTTGATTTATAAAGTACACTTAAAGTCCAAAAAAACTGTGCACATTCTCTTCACGGTTCCGCAAAATGCACTCTATTCTTAAGGACACAGGCTATTTTTTGTTATTACAGTACGGTCCCAAGAAGGGAACGTTTATAATATCGATATTCATACGTATGAACAAATGTAGATGCGTACGTACGTACAATATCTCAAAAATCGCCCTGAAGTACTCTACTAAATCAGTGTTGTCACGGGCCACTTTTTGACATTTTTGGACAAATAAATAAATTAAAATTACTCAAAAGTTTTATTATTAAATAAACCTATTTTAATAACTAATAAAAATATTCAGCACTATAAACAATATTTTTTTTAAAATTAATATATTAATTTTTGAAGCTTGAATATGTTGTGGACATTCTTGGACATGTGGATGTTTGGAAATTGGACAAGACCTAAAAACGTCTTGGACATAATAGACGTGACAACACTGATGTACTCTACCAAATAACTCAAAACCTATTTCCTATTGATCTGCTACTTGGTACTCGGCCACAGACTTGAAAGGAAGTAAACTGCCAAATACAAAATGTTGCACAATTGGAAATTTTTTGAGAACATCTGCTACATACATCTTCATCAAACCTGAATTAACCTTGGCCCAATTTGGTACTTCAGATATATCATAAAGTAATGGAGAGTGCTCGTGGAAAGGTCCTCTTTTAACCTGTAAAGATAATATTTGTTTGAAACTGACACGATTCAAAATTGAAATTGCTGCAATTGAATAAGTGTCTTACCTCTCTAATAGATTTAATGCAACCAAAATATATATAGTCACTACTATACATGTTCACCAATTCTTCAGATAATATAGACTTTGGTTTTAGAAGTTTATGGTCTGTAGGAAATAAGTCTAATTTATTAAACTGAAATCATAATTTCAACACCGAATATTCAATCAAAACACGTTACCTCGTAACTGAGCACTTCCCCAATAATATGAAAGAAACTGATGATCATCTAAACCCCATACACCACGACTTCCAGCAGGTTCAAGCATGTAAACACTTTGCAAACGTCGCACGAGATCAAGATATCTGGAATAAGAATTATTAGTGTTGTTTTATAAGAATTAAGAACAATTCGATAATAAAATAAATGTATACTTTGTGAATACTCTTAACACCAATGCAGTATAATCTTGTTCTTGAAATAAACCCAGCAGGTGCATACAACACATCCATGCAACAAAATTTAATTCATGACCACTACCATAATCGATGCGTGTAGCATTTCCAAATCCTTCAGTAAAGTATGACACTAATTCAATTATCGCACCATGAAATTGTGATGGCAAGATATCTCGATGAATAATTGGAGCGTTCTGTAAAATTATGTCAAAAATAAAAAAAATGATTTCAATTTTTGGCGATATAATTAATGAAAAGGAAGCAAACCTGCTCTAAACGAGCAACCCAATCCCGAAAAGCCTTATTACCAAATCTCTGTGATGTCGGTAAAGGAGGGATCTCATCGATCCAAGACATAATGGTGTCCAGAGAGTCGATCACCTTCTGCACCAGCTGTTCGTTTTGAAGAAATAATTTGAATTAATGACATATATGCAACTCCGATGTCTGAAAAATTCCACGAACCTCAGAAACAAAACAAGGA